TGGCTTTTACGTCAAATTCAGTGGCTGCAACTGTTTAAACTGATGGCCAAAATGAAAAAGTTATCATACATGTAGCCCTTGATACATTTTTAGTGCATATTTGGTGTAAGTGCAAATGAAACTTCTTGCTCCATCTACAACTTAAGCACCAAGAACCACCAAACCAAGGGTACTCTGAATTCTTTTCAAGATGTTGAGTCTATTTTTTCTCTTATTTTTCAAGCATCTGGATTCTGACCTACTCAAGTCAGGAGTCCTATTCCAGAGTTAGTGGCTTTGACCTTTATGCATTCCTTTACGAAAAACTTTCTGTAATAAGCTCTTGTTTGCCATCGCCTGAATGGGAAGTGAGACCTTTGAAATCGATTTCAGACAGAAGGCCTGCTGGTCAGAGATAAGTATCTTGTTCTGCCAGACTGCACAATGCTTCAAACCAATTTCTTGTCCATTTCTGAAAGATTCCCTTCAATTGAAACAAAAAAATGACAGTAAATACTTTTCTAAGCTACAGATTTTCTCAGTGAACATTATTTCATTACAGTTAGCTACTACTGATTGGTGGGAATTAAATATATACTGAGTGGACTAAAATAGAAATTCAGAGAATGGAGAACTGTTTTATTTACTATGCTCTTGAACAACATAATCCAGTAATATATCAGATGGGAGAAATATTTATCTCTGTAGGTATCTATATCTATACAAATATTTAAACAACTGTTTAACAGCTTCTTCTTGCAACCAATGGCAAAAGGAAGCGTTTTCCCAAGAAGTACAGGCCTTAAACGAGAACATGATGTTCAGCTGTAAAGTTAGAGGGACATATACTGGTCTGGTTCATACTAATTTTACAGAAGTGTATTCCTGTTAGCTTCAGTGCAGGTACTTCCCTCTTCATCAGTTTAAGCAAATTTGGAATCAAACCACAAGCCTTTAATGAGGTTTTAATGATCCACTTGGGGGAGCTAAAGGGTAATTTGTTTCCGAATTGATTATAGGAAAATGTTTGGGATGCAAAATTAAGTTACAGAAGACAATGTGAGCAGAGACTTCCACTTTTTTCAACTCTGTGCTGGTTGCTAATCTATATTAGCTTCTGGAGCAAAGGGTCCCCAGTTCTTATTAAAATTCCAGCCACTTATAGAAAAAAGACTCACAGTTACAAATAGCTTAGCAGCAGACACCCGTAATAGCATCAATCATATCCTGACTTCAATTATACACCTACAACATACATTGAATGCAACAGACATAACATGTAAAGCAGAGTTTGGTCCTTCTTAGTCTACATTTTTGTGCTAGTCAACATTAATTGTAATGTGACTGTAAGAAATGAAATTCTAACATACAATGGTTTTGTCTTTCAGTTAATATGAAATACCTCTTTTTTTTTTTTTTTTCTTTTCTTTAAATGCTGGTCTTGAGCTATACCTGCTTGGGCTTCCTGCACCAGTTACTGTGTTGAAACTTGGCTTTGCATCATCATTATGTTCTCCATTTCTCCAGCCTGGGACACACTGGGAACTGTTTCCCAGTATAAAGCCATATCAGCTGCTCTATCTTATGCTTGATTGACTATGATTACTGGTAGCCCTTTGACTGTTCTGGAAGTTAAGCACTAATTAGAGGCAGAGATGCAGTATCTCTTATATGGGAAGGAAGAGCACAGCCTTTTGTCTGTGAAGAGCGAATAAAATATGACATTGGGCTTTTCTCCATGTAGAGATTGCCCTAAAGTTCAGATAAACTGACAATACAGTTGATTTTAAAAGCCACAGCAGATCCAAAGCTATAATCATCTATCTTTTATAAAAGGAAACAACTCAGTTTCAGACATATCTTACATGAAAATTCCATTGGCAAAGCTGTACTGTCAATGTCTTCACTGTAATAGTACAAAATTAATTTCATTCCAAACTACTCTGCAGTGCAGTCCACATGGTTGCCCATATGTGGGCATCTAATTTAACTGACTCATGTAAATAAAGTTTCAAGCAAGAGTGATAATTAAATAAAACATTTTGTTCCTTTAGTATAACTTATTAACTATATTTAAGGATTCCTTATTTTATGTTTAATTTAGCTAGAGCATGTGGAAGAAGTAAACTGTAAGTATCTTTACAAGAAGTACTGTTATTAGGCACTTTAAAAGCAAAGACTTACGCTTTGTAGCTATAAACTACCAAAATACATCTTTAAATGTCATTCAGCATCCTGAATGGGTGACACAATCATGCTGATTGAATACCATGCTAAAGACAATGGCGAAGCAAATGGAAGCAAAGGATACAGTCAACCCAGGTATAGGCATGAAAGCTGTAATCATTAACAGTACTTGATGACAGTATTTGTACTGCAATTTGCTTTTGTGCTTTCTCTTTGATATGTAAGGGCAAGTACTATAATGTATTTAGGAGGAACTACTGCCATAAATTGATCAACTTACATTAATTAATTCAATCTCCCAGATTTTTTTCACAAGGTCCATCGATGTATAGCCGTTAATTAGAAAGGATTTGGTATAGTCACCCAGTTCAATGGAATCCAGCCATTCAGCTACAGAGGTGGGGTTGTAGCCATCATGACCAATCTGCTTCATCTGAAAAACAAGAATGAGTAAGAATTACTGATAATATTCATTAAACATCTTTCAGAACAGCAGTTATTTGTATTATTTTCTTTGGGTTAGAGTTATCTTATTCTCTGATCAACATTCTTTTAATGATTGAATGATTGAATGAAACAATTTTGTGAGCAAAAGCACTAATAAAACTTAGTTTTCACTGGATCTTTTTCTTATGTCTGCTTGCCTTTTAATCCAGAGTATACTAAGATTGTAGCATGAGTTCAATTCTTACTTGACATCAGAGAATCCATAAGTAAGGGAAGGCAAAAGAGTGAGAAAGAGACATTATTAATATACTGACTGCACAAAAATGTCAGATTTGCACCTAAGATTTCACAGAAGGGGAATAAATTAGACTGAGGAATAGATCTTTTGCTATCAAACTGCAAATGAAACATATTGCCTTGGTTATATTATTCCTAATTTATCTCTCCTAGTAGGTTATCTGATATTTTATAATTGTTGAAGCCACACTATATTTTTCTGTCCCCAGGGGAGGCTTAAAAAAGTCTCTTTCCTCTACCTGGTCACATTTTTCATGGAACTCCTGGGAATTTAATATTTTAGATTGCTCTCTGTCTGTAAAGTCACTTGAGATTGGACAATCGAACCAAATATTATTGGAATGGAATTGACAGAATGACGTACACAGAAGCGCACCACCTACATTGATATAGCAACACAGGCACAGAAAGCATAATCACATAAATATTGTTTTCATAACAAACTAAGAAATACCACTGGCATCTTATTTTTCTGAATTTTGTTAAGCTACTAAGAAGTGAAGAGCTGCAATTTATCTTTCACAATTCACAAGGGAAGATTTTCAAGCTAGCCATTAAAGATAAAAATGTATAAAGCCTCTACCTGTGCAGCTTGTTACACCATAGTGTTTTTATGAATTTTAAAGTAATTTTCAATAGTGGCAGAAGTAGAAGTAGAACAATGTAGAAAAAATTATGCAATAGCCTCAATTTTCAACAGTATTATACGCATATCATCTTTCTATAGAAGTGTAACTATTGCTGACTTGATAATACACTGAACTAGTAAACTGTTAAGAAGCTTTAGAGGTTTAGAAACCTTGTGTTTTGCATGGGATCTCCAGACTGTGCAAGAGTGACACTGCGCATGGCGAAAGCCAGTCTCCCATTTCTGCCTGCATACGTGCATTCCTACTTTCTGAGAAACAAGGGAAATGGGACAGAAACATAATGGTTTGAGCTTAAGTTTGAAGTGAGTGTCAAAGTAATTTAAAAAGGAGAGAATTCTGATCTTAATATCTTGCCCGAACCAATATATTTCTCACAGTTTATTTGAAATATGATTTGAATTCAAAGCAGAGAAAAAAAATAAGGTCTGCATTTGAAAGCCACAGTAGTGTTCGTCGATCTGTCTGTTCAAATGCAGAAAGCCAGCATGTCATGATCTTGATCTTGGTTTCCTGCAGTATCAGAGAGGAGTGATGCAGGCACACTGCATCATGGATATGACAGTTTACTCTTTGGTCTTTTGCTGCAGATGTTGGATATAAAATATTAATGGAAATATTTAAATGATACAGTGAAATTATTATCTTAAATCATAAAAGAGAGACAAGAGAAATCACATAATTAACAATGGGAATCGTAGCCTTTCAGGTCACTTCTGTAACAAAGGAGTCCTATTAGAAAGTGGGAGTTCAGGTTTGTTGTTGAACTTGACATTTTGGAATTTAGTTTCATCCTAATTTAGAATGAAGTTCTTTCTTAGATGTCAAAAGCATGGCAAACTCTCCTTTCATTGTCATTCAGACTTACTTCAAATATTAGATTCACAGTAGTCTGTCCAGCAGACTGCAACAATGTTGGAGGACCCTGGTAGCTCTGACTCCTGGGAAGCTTATTTCAAGCGCTGATTTGAAATGAGGTACGTTTAAACAACTGACACTTGAAAAGAAAGGACCCAATAAACTGAAGAAGAAAAATCTAATACAGAGAAGACATGAAGAAGATGTACAGGGCCCACAGGGAACACATGACTTCTGAAAGATATAAGGTATTTTGGTTTTCTTTCTCTAACAAAGAAAAGCGAAGCACCTTCGAAACAATTTTCAATGTATCCAGATGGGGCATGTTATGAAAATGATTTCTTTCATTTATTCCTATTTGATATTTATGTTTAATAAATCCTGATGATTTTAACATGATTTTTTTTTTGACCTGCTGATTGAGAAATCTCATGCAGTCTGGTCCACAATTCTGGTAACTCATCAGCCTCTATAAAAAACAAGCACAGCATGGGAAGTTTCTGAATTCTCAATTCCCACTGGAGATCTCCATCAGAAGGGTTGTTAAAATAGATATCACTCTACTATGGTGTGTTGCAAAGGGCTGCAGGCAAGTAAACACAGCTGAACAATTCAATAAGCAAAAGACCAAGAACAACTGAAACTTCTGTGACAATTTCACTCTTTGGATTTGGTGCCAATAGACAAAATTGTCATCAGGTCACTCAATAGGCTACGTGAAATGAAACACTGCTCTGTTGTCAGGCAGCGGCAGGTTCTGCAAGCATTTTCGCTCTCCCTGCCCCAGAGATTTGACTGCCTGTGTTCAAGACCATGTCAGGGATGGTGCAGTTGCATAGCCTTGGATCAGACCCGTGTGAGAAAGAGCAGCGAGAAGGTTGGGGCCACCCCACCTTCTGCAGGAGCTGCATGTGAACTCAGGTCTGTGTCCCTGACGCTCACCTGAGCTATGCTGTAGGTACATCTGTGCCCAGCGAAGGACCTTGCTGATCCTCACCCACCGACTCGCCCTCCTGAATCGACCTTGTCCTGCCCTTGTCCCTGTGGATTTGCCCTGGGACATGGCTGTCTACAGTCACTGCCACTGTCCCTGCCCCACTCGCCTTGTGCGGGTGCTCCCTCTCTGCCCCACTGTCCCCCCTCAGCTCCCAGCCCACCTGCCCTGGCAGGGCAGCCCCTTCCTGCTGCTCCTGTTGCAGAAAATGAATCTCAGAACTAGAATATTGGCCAGCAGTTTCAGCACAAGAGCAGTATTTTGTTTTGTCATGAACCAAGAACCAATCTCTTATCTAAAACAGATTTTCTAAAGTATGTCTAATATATGAAAATTAATAAACTTTCAGTATCCATCCTCTAGTATGGCAAGTTTTGTTCTGTCTGTTAATAACACCAACTAGCTTATAAACTGTCATTCATAGCTGGCTGAATGTTTTCCTTTCAAATATTTATTGACAGACAGATTGGTTATCTAGACATGACAGTATCGTTAATAGTATCTGCTTTTCATATAAAATGTTATGGAGTTTTTAAATAGAAAAAAAACCACTTTGAAATATCTGTCTGGAAGTCTACTTTATTAGAGCTGCAGTTTAGTTGCATCTTATCCCGGTCCTCAGTAATAGGTCACGGCTCTTGGACTGTTTGTATTTTTTTTTCTATACTGCACCATGATCTTAGACTCCTCTCACAGATCATTTACACCCTGTAGGCTTCCTTGCTGATGCTATTTGCTGATTGATTTTTTTTTGAAAGAAAAAAGCCCTCCTATCTACTGACTGTATTTCCATGTATAATATTTCAATCATTTTGCACCAGCTACAACACATGCACCAGTGGTGTCAAACATCTAAGCAGCTATGTGCACACTGATTGACTCAGAGCAGTATAAAATCTCTAAGCTTCAAGTCACGACAGCCATTCAAATATTAACTGCTCATAAATAGGGGCAGTATTGTTCTTCTGCAGACACTGCTACTAGTTAATTTGGTTGTTATCTTTAAAGAACAATATCAATGTTAGCTGTTTCATTGCAGATGATTTTAGCATGCCGACTATGGAAAAGGCTAGGAATGAAGCCCATAGGATTTACAGAAAAAGAAATGTTTAAGAAAATATGATATAAACGAAGCATGGAAGAAGACACAAACCATAGGAGATTTCTCTCCTAGGTCAGATTGATCTGTCACTAGTATCGCTTCCTTTGAAATGAATAGAAAGCAGAAGCCAGAAACAGCTGTTTCTCATAATAAAACAGTAATGTCAAGTAGTATCCTAATGGGCTGAGAAATCCTTTACAAGAGACTGTCTGTACATCAGTCTTTTTACAGCTGCATCACTGCAATATCTATATAGTACTTTACATTAGGATAGAAGGTACTTGAGTTTTTGTCTCTGAAAGGTAGCCAAATAAACACTAATGGAGCTTCAAAGTAATCACATATGCACCAGAAGCATCAAGGTGAATTCACTAACATGGACTCTTACCAGTTTTCTCTGATCTTCTCAGACAGATGGGGAACTAAGGCTATTTTCTCCACAGGTAACATCACTATCTGGTGGATCTCAACACTGCATGTATTAAAATCAAGCTTTTTATCCGCTGTATAACAGAAAGAGATGACTTGACTTTCACAGCTTTTTAAAAGATGGCTATGATTACTGTGAATTTATGCTTGTGTTGGTTTGCAAGAAAGATCTTTTTAGCAAGCACATAATGCTTTCTTTTAAACTGCTGGCCTATCTGAGAGATGTAAGCAGCGCTTTTGGGAACTTGTATGAAACCATCAACTACCAATCTGAGTAATTCTGGATGATTGTAACGGGGGGGTATCAGTTCTTTTTTTCCTGTCTTTGTGAGTTGTCTGTTATATATTATGTATTTTACAAATGTGATCAGTTGGACTCATGTTGTTGGAAGAGGAGATTGTTCCTCCTCTTGAATGGTGAAAGAAAAGGCTTGGGAGAGTGACACTTCTGAAGATCACGGGACCTGGCTGACACAGGGGCACCACGTGGAGCTGGTGCCTGCAGCACCCATGCAGAAATTAAGCCTGCAGTCAGGGGCAGAGAGGCAGCTCTCATGAGGGACGGGCACAACTCTCCAAGGACCTGAGAAGACTTTGCTGCTGTTGAGAAAGCCACTGAGTGAAAACAGGCACCTGCCTGCAGAGACCCAGTGGGTGAG